AAATGGTGTATGCTATACAATGTTAAATTGCTAAATTAGGGACGGCTAGCGCAGATAGCCCTCGTGTAGCTTTGCGCGAAATTCAAAACAAACAAACAAACAAAAAATCTATCCTAATTTAAAACTGATAGACTAGAGGGGGCTAGTAACACCACCCAATGTCAACTCTGAGGTTACTCTAATCGAATATTAGGATCGTCCGTCACATTGTTACACTCCAATAGATGATAGGGCCAGCAAGTTCGGTGACGGGGTTCGAACCCGCTATCCGCCTACAGTAAAATATAAATACATATTTATTGTTATTATTTATGAGAATTCAATATATTTTTTTTTCAAAATAACGCTTTTCCAACTCTTTGCGTGTATCTCTTCTTTCTTTTCAACGTAAAATGTTTTTATGACGATTTTCTCCTCCCTCCATACTTCTGAAATAAACCTTTTAGGCTTAAGATTAAAGTATTATACGTAGCTGCTTTCTTCTCCCCTCCCCTTCCCTCCCAGCTGCCCTTTTTTCTGTATTAGTTGCATGTTATGTTGCTGATTGGATCAGAACAAACAGTATATGTGTGTGTTATCGGATGATAACAGTAATCACACATACTTCAGAGAAATACATTGAGATCTAATATAATCGCATACAGTAATGTGTATCTGCCTGGGCAACATAGCGCCTAGCGACATCGCAAACACGGGCTCGGTAGTTAATCCAATACGAACTATCCCTCTGTAAAGTAAAAGTCAAGGCATTATAGGAAGTTTTAAACTTTACTCGAGCATTACCAAAATCCGTCAAGAAGATCAAAATGTTTCTTCTTATCTTTATCGTTAAGAGTGATGAATTGGTCCCAGATATGAACGTAACAACTACTGTTCTCTCTAGAGAGAGAGGTGTTATAGATATCTGAAAGTCACACTAAAACTTCTAGAAGTTTTAAAACCCTACCATATTGCTGCTTTAACTTTTAGGGTTAGTTTTTAGACGCAATGGCGTCGCTGGGATTTTTGGACAAGGAAGGCACAGTCTTAATAACGTAGGCTTAAATGATATTGTAAAGCATACTCCATTAGGCTTAGACGACATCGTACAGCATACACCATTTGCTTAAATAATATTGTAAGGCATACTCCATTAGGCTTAGACGACATCGTACAGCATACACCATTTGCTTAAATAATATTGTAAGGCATACTCCATTAGACTTAGGCAACATTGTATAGCATACATCATCTGCTTAAATAATATTGTAAGGCATACTCCATTAGACTTAGGCAACATTGTATAGCATACACCATTTGCTTAAATAATATTGTAAGGCATACTCCATTAGACTTAGGCAAAGACAAGAGGGAAGGCAGCTAGTCATCACCACCCACCGCCAACTCTTGGGCTACTCTTTTTACCAACGAATAGTGGGATTGACCGTCACATCATAACGCCCCCGCGGCTGAAAGGTTAAGCATGTTTGATGTGACGGGGGATTCGAACCCACGACCCACAGATTGCGAGTCGAGCGCCCTAACCACAACATTTAAGAAGACGTTAGAAATAATTAATACAATCTCATCAAATAACAGCGAGTTAATACTTTAATTTTTTTATGTAATCATAACAACACATTAATATACTTCAAGAAGACGTTTGATAGGCCATTATTCAACTCTTGGGCCAGCAGGCACCACTTGACAAGCAACAGGAAGCAAACAAAGTCACGAGTTACAAATCTGGTAACACTGACCTAGATTTGACTTTACATACTCGAGAAATTCACACTTCGATTATGCAGTCAACCACTGTGTAAATTATGCAAAACAATCCCGCGTGATCGCGTTAAACTTGGGACTCTTGTTAAAAGAACAGAGCCCACATCTGCTCAATGGTTTATCCACATTTTATCGTGTATTTGACTAACACCTACTTCCTTGACCTAAAATTCCTAGTTTTGTTTTAGACTTATAATTTTTTTTATGTTTCCCAGCCTTTTATTCATTTAATCCCATTCTGGCTATAACTCCAAAAAGTGTTAACTTTCATTTAAAACAACTGTAATTTATTTAGTTTTATCTTTGTAAATCATTTCACTCGGTTTTAATGTAGTTTGTATATGTATCGTTGGCTTAATCATTCGCAAGTCGTCTCAACTGTAGAGCAACCATAGTAACTGGCCAACTTTATCTTTTGATACAGTACTTACCTCTTTATTAGTAGATGTATTTCATCATGGCCTACGAAGTATACGTGTCGTAAGCTAATGGCGCTTCTCCAAAACCTCAATGGTAAGCGAAAAGACATTATGTGGGCTAAGTTCACGGTATTGAAGTATTTGAACATTTAGTGTGAAGATGTTACACGTGAGCTACGTTCACGGTATGGAAGTATTTGAACACTTAGTGTGAAGATGTTACATGTGGGCTAAGTTCACGGTATTGAAGTATTTGAACATTTAGTGGGAAGATGTTACATGTGGGCTACGTTCACGGTATTGAAGTATTTGAACATTTAGTGTGAAGATGTTACATGTGGGCTATG